AAGCTTCTGTAACCATTTCTTCCAGAGTTAACTTGGGGCCTACTCACACTATGCCATCCGTACCGTGCCCAGGCCCGTTTCCCGGATCGTTTGAGAAGTGTGAGTACACTGAATCGGGCTCAAGCACGGTTCACTTGGCCGGCCCTGGCCCGGTTGGAAGAGGTGTGCCTGAGCGCGGTTCACTTGGGCTTTGGCGCGGTATGCTTGTGTGTGAGTGTAAAACGCACTAAAGCCCGAAACTGAAAGCGAGACGTGACTTTTAAGGGACTGTTTCATATGGATTTATTAATCATTCTTACTGTTCAGTGAACGCAAACTGCCGTAGTTTCTTAAAGACGCAAAAAGACTGCGCGCCTTCAGCAGACCTCCTCATTCCTGCAGCACGAGAGCTTTATGATTGTTTATGAGCGCCAAAAGTGGCGGATCTGTTCGGCGAAATATCTGACTGTGTGTCCCCGCATCCCTAAGGACTGTTTGGCGAAATATTTGACTGCATGTCACTGCATATCAAACGACTGAAACGACAAAACTAGAGAAATCTTCACCGTGCTGCTGAGTGAGAGAGCGCTTCTCACTGAACAGCACAGCAGCGATGACGTAAGCGTGCCGAGGCCCGATATGGTGTTAGTGCGGGCCGTCGGGGGAGGCGGGACAAGCGTGCTTTGGCCCGGTTCGAGGCAACTGTACCTAGTGTGAGTACGGCCTTGGATGTTGAGTGGGATGTGTGTTCTTCATACAATTATCACCAATGCGTGAAGTTGATCATCTAAACAGCAACAAAGCAGATCTGTAGTCTTGGTAGACTATGGGCGTACTCTCACTATGTACAGGTGCCTTGAACCGGACCAAAGCACAATTGTCCCCCCTCCCGTCTCCCGGGACGGCCCGCACTCGCATTACATTCGGGCCTGGGCACGCTAGCGTCACTGATGATGCGCTGTTCAGTAAGAAGTGGAGATTTCTTTTTTGTGTCTTAAATAATCTATGACAGTTTGCGTTCATTGAACAGTACGAATGATTAATAAATCCATATCAAACATTCCCGTAAAAGTCACGTCTCGCCTTCAGTTTCGGGCTCTGGCATGCTTGCACTCACACTACAAGCGTACCGTGCCTGAGCCCAAGTGAACCGCGCTCTGGTACACCTCTTCCAACCGGGCCAAGTGAACCGTTCCCGATTCAGAGCACTCACACTTCTCAAACGATTAAGGAAAGGGGCCTGGGCACAGTTCAGATAGTTTGAAAAGGCCCCAAGTGGCGACTTTATGCCCCCCAGGGATTTTGCCTCTTGCTGATTTTGGACTGCAGGTGTTGTGCTCAAACAGACTCTGATTGTAGCATCGGCTGATTTATCCTTGTTAGCTAAGGCTGAACAATAAATCCTATGCGATTGTCGTAAGCATTATTCTATAAAGCCGACTCAGTAAACTAGGCAAAATATTACATGCGATATCATCGTGCGATATTGACAGCTGTTTGCTTAGCTTCTCGATATACTACGGCCATCCTTTGCAGTAAATGTTAATGTTGAACCTGAAAGCATGTGCAAATACCACACTTAAAGCCTGGTTTATACTTCTGCGTCAAGTGATCGGTGTGACCAACAGTGCATGCAACACGTGTAGCTGTGCATTCATACTTTTGCTGTTTCTGTTGCTCTGCAATAACACTTCTGAAACGCTAGTTGGCAGTGAGGTGTTGATGTGTCTCTGTGTCGAGTTTCTTCGCTGGTGTTTTGTTTTTTCTAAACGCTTTCTTAAGTTACAAGTGGTATAAACTCGCTTAATTTGAGGCAGGAATCGGTGGACGTGCAACAACTTTAACTATGAGGTAAACCTAAAATAAAACTTTCCATCTGGAGCTCCTTCACAGTAGAGATCTGCGCGGGACTAAATTTTGAATCCCGCTCTCGCCCGCACCCGCCAGGTTTTAGCCCGAACCCGACCACTCCCGCTTATATTAAGAATTTGTTGTCCCGCTGCCCGACCCGCCCCGTTTTCTGCCCGCCGCGCCCGATCCCGCTAAAGAGCGGAGGAGATCAAAACCGAAAATCACCCAGCTATACAGTCCAGACAGCCAAGCTGTCTGTATAAACAAACACACACAGCACCAAGCACACACACAGACAATGCTCTCTCTCTCTCATAAGCCCGAGTGCACTAACACACACAAGCACCAAGCAGACACACAGGCCAAGCTCTCTCTCTCTCTCTTTCTCTCTCTCATTTGCGCGCACGCGCACTTACATATACACACTCACAAGCACCAAGCGCACACACAGACAAAGCTCTCTCTGTCTCATTCGCACGCGCACTAACATATATACACACACACACACAAACACAAGCACACACACAGGCAAAGCTCTCTCTCTCTCTCATTCGCGCGCACTAACATACATACATACATACATACACACACACACACAAGCACACACACAGGCAAAGCTCTCTCTCTCTCATTCGCGCGCACTAACATACATACATACACACACACACACACACACACACACACACACACACACACACACAAGCACCAAGCGCACACACACAGGCAAAGCTCTCTCTCTCTCTCTTATTCGCATAGCAATATCCGCGATATTGCTAGACAGCCCGCTCCCGTCCCAAATTAAACCCGTTACCGACCGCTCCCGCGATTTATTCGGAAATTTATTCCCGCGCCGCAGAAATCTGGTCGGGTCTGCGGGAATGCAGACCTCTACTTCACAGGACTCCACTCTTGTAAACAAATGCTCCATCGGACTCCCGGTCCGCCCACACTCATCAGCGATGCCAAACCAACCAATCACAGAGCTTGCGTTACATTTTTTGGGAGGTGCGTGTCAGCGACGCGGACGGCCGCGGCAAGGGCTATGTGTCCACGCGTAGGCTGTTCCGTAGCACATGCGTGCGCTTGAGGCAGAAGTATAAATCAGCCTTAATCAGTGGTGTAAAGAGCACTGAAAAATCACTCAAGTAAAAGTACGATTACTTGCCTAAAAAATGTAGTGCAAGTAAAATAAAAGTATCTGTTGTAAATATTACTCAAAGTATGTGTAAAAAGTAGAGCTTTCAAAAGTACTCAAGAGTAGCGAGTATTTCGCTGTGAAAAGCTGATGCATTTAGATGTTATTTGTGCATGTGTGTAAACGTAACATTCTGTAGTGCATTTGGTTATTGCCCAGCAGGCACACAACGTCATAAGACGCTAATACTAGGTTAGATTTAGGTCATGAGGTCAGGTAACCAAACTTTTATGTCTAGCCAACATCTAAGGACAATGTTATTCTGATGTCCAGTAACGTCAAATTACATTGGTATTTGGTTGATTTTAGGTTGTTGGAAAGTGACCAAAATCCAATAGAGGCAACATCTTAAACCAACGTCATATTGATATCAAATACTGACATTTATTCATCAGGTATGGCAACCAAAATCCAACGTCTGATAGACGTCATAGTAGTAACATCCACACAACATCAAGCCATGAAAACATTAAACGTTGATATTTGGTTGATTTTAGGTTGGACATTGAGGTTGGACGTTTTTAATTTCCAAACAAAATGTAATGTCCTCTTGACGTTGGGGTACAACGTCAATCTGACGTCATGCTTGACGTCTTGTGCTTGCTGGCTGTTTAAGGCCATTTCGGTCATCATACAGCAAACATCCGTCATCTTCTCATCAGTGACATGCATCTGAACAGTCTCTGGGTCAATGCCTGTAAAGAATTTGCACATCTTCTTGGACCCTTTTAATGCTTCCAAACAGTTTGCTGCATTTATAAAGTGTCCATGTCTTGAGGTGGTTCAACATGAAGCGATTTACCTTCTATGTGCGATTTGATTGGACAGGAATCGCAGGATGGATTTTTCTAATCCAAATTGACAGGAATAAAAGTAGAGACTGCAGGTTGCATTCTGTGAAATGGCGCGCCTTCTTACACAAAATTCTTCTTACAAAGAAAGCACGCAACATACTGTATTTAGATATTCATCCACCATAATGAGGCGTAGTACCAAATTCAGAAGTATTGGATTGAGCTTTGCCTGGCAAGAATTACACCCTGCTTTTAAGGTTTCTCTCCAGTGTGAATCCTCTCATGTTTTTTCAGCTGTCCTAAGTGTCTGAATTGCTTGTCGCAGTGTGAACACGTGTAAGGTGTCTCTCCAGTGTGAGTCCTCTCATGTGTTTTCAGGCTGTCTAATGTACTAAATCTCTTGTCGCAGTGTGAACACGTGTAAGGTTTCTCTCCAGTGTGAATCCTCACATGTTTTTTCAGGCTTTCTAATGCACTAAATCTCTTGTCGCAGTGTGAACACGTGTAAGGTTTCTCTCCAGTGTGAGTCCTCTCATGGGATTTTAGATGTCCTGAACTATTGAATCTCTTTTCACAGTGTGAACACTTGTAAGGTCTCTCTCCAGTGTGAATCCTCTCGTGTTTTTTTAGGCTTCCTGAATAACCGAACCTCTTGTTGCAGAGTGAACACGTGTAAGGTTTCTCTCCAGTGTGAATCCTCTCATGTATTTTCAGATGTCCTAAATCCCTGCATCTCTTTTCGCAGTGTGAACACTTGTAAGGTTTCTCTCCAGTGTGAGTCCTCTCATGTTTTCTCAGATCTCCTGATTTACTGCATCTCATGTCGCAGTGTGAACACTTGTAAGGTTTCTCTCCTGTGTGAATCCTCTCATGCATTTTCATCGTTTCAAATTGACTGAATCCCTTACTGCACACTGAACAAATGTAAGGTTTCTCTCCAGTGTGAACCCTCTCATGTATTTTCAATTTTACAGCCGTATGAAAGGTCTTCTCACACTCGAAGCACATGTACTCCCTCACACCAGTGTGGATCTTCTGATGATTTCTTAAACCATATTGATCTCTGAAACTCTTTCCACACACAGTGCATGGATAAGGCCTCTCCTTTATATGAACTCTAAGGTGTTTCTTTAGCTGTGAAGCTCTCAAAAATGTTTTGCCGCACTGATCACATTTGTGTGTTTTCTCTCCAGTGTGGATCATCATGTGACTAATAACGGCTGAGGGCTGTCTGAAACTGGTCCCACACTCAGAGCATGTGAATGGTTTCTCTTCAGTGTGGATCATCATGTGATACCGGAGACTCTTTTTGTTTGCCAGACTCTTCCCGCACTGGGTGCATGTGAATGGTTTCTCTCCAGTGTGGATCATCATGTGATGCCGGAGACTCTTTTTGTGTAATAGACTCTTTCCACACTGAGTGCAGGTGAAACAGTTTTTGTCTTTTCTCTTCAGTGAGTCAGTTTCTTCTCCCTCTTTGACAGGACTGTGTGTCTCCTCCATCAGGCCTGAAATAAAATTAAAATACTGCATTTTAAATGAATTATATTAAAGTTCCCCTATAATGAAAATCTGGGTATACCAAGGCATAGTAAAATAATAAAAGCTCAGTGTATGGAAAAGACCATATTGTGAGCAGTAAACACTGCTGTTTCCTCATTATCATGTAAATTAGAAGCCAATTAGAAGCCAAAGCAAACCGTGATGAGACTCACAGGCCAAGCCATCCACATTTGCATGTATGCCTACTTTAGGTTGTTCATCCAGAGCTGACGAGTACCTGACGTCATCAAGAGAGCGCGACTCATATGCAGCTGAGATCATAAAAAAGGCTCTGAGATCATTAATATTCCCACCTCAGGCTGCGTTTAACAAGCCAACATTTTCTGTTCAGACAACAGTGGTAATTTTCCTCCCTTAGTAATTTTTGACCTTACATTCAACTTATGTGGGACTTTTATTTTGAAAACGTGAGCCCCTAATTGTTTACGATCCATTACTCAGGCATGTGATCAGCCAAGGACAAAAAACAAGGAAGACGAGACACACAGACACACACATACATTATATATATATATATATATATATATATATATATATATATATATATATATATATAGGGCTCGAAATTGCGACCATTTTGGTCGCATATGCGCCCGAAAATTAATCTATGCGACCTCATAATATATTTGGGAGCCTTAGTGCGACTGCAGATAATGGTTGTAGTGCGACCTATTTTGATTTTTTGTAAAAATGTGCTGAATCGCTCTTTCCTGCCGCTATATTGGTTCATATTAGCTGTCAATCACTCAAGGTATTCCGCTGTCAGATGACAGGGAAGGAGCTTTTATGACCACGGGAAATGCAAACGGCTGAAGAGTAAAAACTTAAAGCACACAGGTTTGCAAACCCCACCTAAAGTTGAGGTGCAGATGAGAGCGATCATGACACGTCACGTGGTGAATAATGATCCGCCAGCTGAGATCAATCGAGAACGCGCTTCTTGGAGAAGGCGCCCGAATCTCCATGCGTCGCATTCACTGCGTGTTCAGCGCAAATGTCCGCTAAAAGTCAAATCTAATACTGTACATATCATCGCCAAAGAAGCTGGCCTTTACGAAGTTTACACTGAAACTGCGGCTCATAACAAAGACCGGTATTGCGCCGATGGTTAGCGCAAGAATCCTGCGCTGCCTGTTCATAAATTGGGATGGCTGACTCGCCAGCTTTTCCACTAACACAGAAAAATGAAGATCAGCTCAGACTGAACCTTTAAATTGACACAAACTGAAACCAAAACTTTTAAAGAGTGATAGAAGTGAGACTTTTCTTACTTTCTTTTGTCTATTCTTGTTTGAGGTGTATATTATTTTTATTTTTTATTTATTTACTGATGACTGCTTTGCAGCTTTCATCATTGAATTGAATGATTTATTATAATCTTTTGTTTGTTTTGTAGCAGAAATATTATTTATTAAATTGACATGCATATAAAAACAGCAGCACAAAATAAATATTTCTTACTGCAATGCTTCATTTTTGTTTGATGCAAACTATACAATTATTTTTCATAAAGTAACAGGCTTTTTATAGCAGATAACCTACATTCATGCACATTCAAGGCAGTATCATAATGAGAAATGGAATTCATTGTTATTATTATTGTCATTTCCATCATCACTAATATTCTATAGCCTAATTATTTGACATTCATTTTGGAATTATTGCACACAAATATCAATGTCTTCGCAGCATTAGGTAGATAGTTGTTTCTGGTTTTTGTCAGTCCTATTGATATTGTTTTAAAATACAATAAATCCCTTAAAAAACTATTTGCAGCGGTGCTCATTCATTTTTGGTGGGTGCTCCTAAATTTTTTCTGGTGCTCCTAAATTTATTTTGGTGCCCCTAAATATTTGAAGTTGGGAGCACCGGTGCTACCAAGTAAAAAAGTTAATTTCGAGCCCTGAGTATAGGTTCACACCTCTAGAATTATTATAAATCATTAATATTCTGGATTAACTTATTGCTAATTTGACCAAATAAATATAACCAGAACTCGCCGCTCTTCCGAGCGGACACGGTAATCTACTCATTTAGAAAAAGGGAATTTAATTGCTACTTCTTGTGAAGTAGATTAATCATTCAAAAGTTTTAAACAATTTATAATAGCTAGGCAGGGGAATCTGTATTTCAGTGACATTTTCTCGTGAGGCAAACAATACAATTCATTTGATTATAATAGGATTTATTGACTAGTCAGACGGATAACGAACAAACATACATTAAACACAGAACAAAAAGGGAAACCACGTGGAGACATCGGGTCTATAGAACGTGTAACAACAAAGAGAAATAGTAAAGCTAGGAAATAGAGGCTTCAGATAAAAGAGTGACAAAACTTTCAGTTCCACACGCACCATTAAGGACCACCAAGATTATCCAAACAAAAACACCTTTTTTGATAAAAGGGGCACAGCTTAATCGCATAACTAAAATCACCTGGACTTCCATGTTTGGAGGTCCCTCTTATGCGAGTCTCTCTTCCGTCGTGATGAAATGTCCTCCTTGATGCGTGGAGTTTGTAATGCAGTTCGGACGAACACGATCGCAAACTTTAAACTGAGTTTACTTTGCCGGAAAATAAAGAAAGCGTTACGGGGAAAAAAGTCCATGCGGCTTAGAAAGCCACGTGGCCCTTAAAGGTACCACGTTTGATGGGTTCTTTGTTAGGACCCTCTCTTTCTGCACAGATGTTTAGGGGGAAGTCTGCTTATACCTGCGGGTCACGTGACAACCCGTACAGCATTCTGACCAATGATTTCAGGGGAAAGTTTGCGCGCGAACCTTCCTTTGTCTCGGGGCTGCTCGTATGCAAATTTGAGTGTCCACCTAAAGCATGCGGACAGGCATTTAATGCCGGGCTGTAAAGAATAAAGCAATGCAAGTTATGGTCTTGCTCTATCCATCATGTGTTGTAAAATGTCAGCAGAAACCCATCGGTACCAAACATGGGGGGTTAAAAAGTACATCAACATAATTTTTCATATCCTTACAATATTTATGCTTTACAAAGGCCTAAAGGGAACATGCATACAGGTTATAAGAGAGGTTACACAGGTAAGAAAAGTCAGAAATGAGATACCAAGTGTACAAAACATAACTTTACTCTTGTGCTGGTTCAGGATTTGATGAGTTCATTTTCTTTCTGTCGGGACAGCCTTGTGTGTGTGTGTGTGTGTGTGTGTGTGTGTGTGTGTGTATGTATTTGGGCAGGAATGTCTTAAGAGATAAAGTCTGTCGGGGGGGGGTACCCAGACTTTTTGGAGCCAGGAGTCGTAAAAACCCTCCTGTCGACTAAAGCCAGACTGTGATAAAATCAATAAGTAATTTTATCTGTGGACTGTACGCTACATGTGTTTGTGTGGACGAAAGGGAACAGGAATGTCTTTGAAGTTCTAGTAGAAGAGACCCAGGAAAGTCTGTTAAGTGTCCCGGAGTAATTAAATTGTCACTCAAAAAAGCTTAGAGCAGACTTCCTGGCACCGAGTGATCGTATCTGTCCTCTTTAGATCAAACCCAGACCATTTCTTAAAATCAATAAGTAGTTTTATCTATGGACTGTACGCTACAGAAAACACACACACACAAACACACACATATATGCATTGAGTGTAAAGCATACACTCAATGCATCACCTAGCGGGTTCCACACAGGCAGTTTATATACACTATGAACAGCAGCTACGCTAATTATTCTCTTTATTCTCTATTTCCACCTGGGGATACTCATCCCGAGGTCCTCAGATTATGCAGAGTCACTGATTGGATCCAAGATCAGCGACGTGATGATCCCAAGGATTCCATATCCGGGACCAGGCCATATCCTGAGCTGCTGCTGCGCTGATGGTCGTGGGGAGTGGAGAACATGAGTCTGATTCCAGCGACGCTCCAGGGACAGACGAGTCTTCGCTGAGGCCATCTTCCAGCCTAAACCACGAAGAATGAAGCTCTGCACAAGACTTTTGGCCAGCGGAGAAATTAAAATGGTCGCGCCCAACTGAGTCTGGTTCTCTCAAGGTTTTTTTCTTCACTCCCATCAGGTGAAGTTTTTTTTTCCCTCTACGCTGTTGCCACTGGCTCGCATGGTTCAGGATTGGTAGAGCTACGCATCGATGAATTTGCTCTTCAGTGTTTGAACTCTCAGTAATGATTAAATCACACTGAACTGAGCTAAACTGAACTGAACTTAAACACTAAAAACTGAACCACACTGTTCCAGTTACTGAACCACACTGTTCCAGTTACTATGACCATTTATGTGAAGCTGCTTTGACACAATCTACATTGTAAAAGCGCTATACAAATAAAGCTGAATTGAATTGAATATATATGCATGTACGTGAAGTCAAAAGTCATGTTTAAAAGATCAAGAACATTTTCACAGTATTTCCTACAGTCTAATAGTGTTTATTCTGGAGAAAGTCGTGGGCTATTTATTTTAATCTGGCTGGAGTAAAAGCAGTTTATATAGACCTAATAATCATGTCAATATAATTAACCCCTTATGAATTTCTTTATGTCAAACAAACATTTGTCATGACTTGTCACTCAAAAGCATCTTGCTACAGCTACTTCATTTATAATGTTGCCAAATGAGATTACTTGGAAGCTTTCTGGCTGTATGTAGTTTATTTTGTCCTTCGTTTAACGTTTACCACTGTTTATTATACAGAATTATATTTTAAATACACCCTTTTAAGTAATGAGCTGTTCACCTTCTGTGATTGTGACCATGTTTTTGTAAAAACAGTGATATTTAATTGCATCCACTCCCACATTAAAGAATACTACAGTAACTTATAGGAATACTAGTGTTTTTGAACCATATTATAAAAATAGCCGATTTACATTTTATAGTTGCTCTGGTATGACAACAACTATAAACATAACCCAATACTGAATAAACATGTTCAAAAACGCTATAATATTTACTGTAAATCCCCAAAGTATTTTTTCATGAGGTCATTTGTCCAGGATAAAAAAACGCAAACGTGATCTCCGCCACTGGTGACGTTTCCAGTAAGGGTGTCAAAATCAAAATCGATCGAAATTTATGCTCAATTTCGATTATCGAATCAAAAAATAGAATCGTCGATGCTGCCACGTCCCCATGTCACGTCAGCTTGGCTTACCAGGCAGGAAAAAAACAGGCTTGTTGAAGTGCTTGTTAAACTGCAGGAGACCCGTCGACAGAGCTCAAACCCTCTCCTCTTTCAATGAAGTCGCCGGTGTGGAAGCATTTTGGATTTCCAGTGAGTTATGTTGACAACGTTCGTGTTGTCGACAAAAAAACACAGTTTGCAAGCTCTGCTATGTCCGTATTAGGGTTGGGCTGATAGACGATGGCCGCATCGCGATCCTCCGCCCCGCGCCCGTTGCAAATCCGCTCGCGAAAAATACACACTCAGGCCCTGTTTACACTGTCTTTGTTTTTAAATGCCATTTTAGAATGACAACAACTTGACATCCACAGTGGCGTGTAGCATTTCTAAGCAGCCCTCCTTCCTCACTACTGCTGAAAATGCACATCACGTGACCACACACACTCATTCACACACAGACACACACACGGACACAGACGTACACACAGTCATGCGCTCGAGACAGCGGATCCAGGCAGTCAGCCGGTCAGTAGACTGCTTCTATCTTTCACTCACTTGTACTTAGTCATTTTAGCGAACACCTCAGATACTGTTGGCTGGTTCCTGTTGGTTGTGCAGCTTTTTTACCGACGCCATTATGACGACACAGATCACTGCCTATTCACAAGTCCCGCAGAAAAAGTGATTGACAGGTGGTAATTATGTGTGTAACTTGCCTTTATTCATTTACTGTATGATTTGTTTATGGGTAAAACAAAGACCATGCAGGTCAGGTAGTTTAAACGGTAGGCTACAAATAATTAATTCGTTATTTATTAATTAATTATTCATAATCGAAAATCGAATTGAACCGTGACTTTAGAATCGAAAATCTAATTGAATCGAGGATTTGGAGGATCGTGACACCCTTATTAACAAAAGAATAAAAGACAACTGAGCAACAGTCTCTATTTGTTACCTTGTCAATAGAAAGTGTACTAGCTTTTCTCTCTCTTTATATAAAATCACTTGTTTCCTCCTGTGCTCGCTCAATAAAACAGATCAACTGTTCAAAGCTTCTCATCATTATTGTTCTCCAGGCTTATTAATGAAGAATCAGGAATAAACACCAACCTATTTGTTGTTCAGTATCTTCATCTTTAATTCTGCAGGGTTCTTGATCACTCATGTTCTCGCTGTCCTTCAGTAAACTCTTGACTTGAGCCTGATGGGAATATTCCTGTGTTTATAACAGAAACACTTGCATTAAATATTCAGTATATAATTTACAATCATAACTGTTTCACTCTGACACAAATGTGCATGTATTTGACCATTAAAGTGCTCGAATTAAGATGGCGTTAGATGTGTGTGTGCTCTGCTGTCCGAGGCTAAGCGCGGCGTGCACGCAAACACACACACACACACGCTACCTGTCCGAGGCTAAGCACGGCGCACACACACACACACAACAGCAAGTGCTCATTTGCGCTTTTAAAAATATGAACGATGCGCATCCCGTGCTGCAAAAGTTACATTACAGCACATCACACGTGTACAACTGGAAAGGGGGCGGTACGTGATGGAATAATCGTTTATCTTGATTATTGGTTTTTCATAATCGTTACAAGCCAAAATCGAAATCGAAATCGGATTTTCGATTAATTGCACAGCCCTAACATTAAGTATGAATAATTCCGTAAATCATTTATTAATGCAATAATAAAATACAAAATTGTGCTTGTTAACATTAATTAATAAACAGAGATTTAACATGAACTAACTTTAAGTTAAATAACATTACAAAGATGGATGAATACCGTAATGAATGCATTACCAATTGTTTGTTCATTTTAGTAAATGTATTAACCAACTTTTACCTTGACAAAAAATTATAATATCACTTTTTACTTAATATCACTTCAGTTTACTTTTACTGCAGTAAACTGTGGTGTGTTGTAATATAGTTGTTGAAAATGTAGGGGGGGTTGGGGGGGCTTAAGCCCCTGACAGGGCTCGAAATTGCGACCATTTTGGTCGCATATGCGTCCGAAAATTAATCTATGCGACCTCATAATATATTTTGGCGCATTAGTGCGACTGCAGATAATGGTTGTAGTGCGACTTGTTTTGATTTTTTGTAAAAACGTGCTGCTGAATCGCTCTTCCCTGCCGCTATATTGGTTCATATTAGCTGTCAATCACTCAAGGTATTCCGCTGTCAGATGACAGGGAAGGAGCTTTTATGACCACGGGAAATGCAAACGGCTGAAGAGTGAAAACTTAAAGCACACAGGTTTGCAAACCCCACCTAAAGTCGAGGCGCAGATGAAAGCGATCATGACACGTCACGTGGTGAATATTGATCCGCCAGCTGAGATCAATCGAGTATGCGCTTCTTGGAGAAGGTGCCCGAATCTCGATGCGTTGCATTCACTGCGTGTTTAGCGCAAATGTCCGCTAAAAGTCAAATCTAATACTGTATATATCATCGCCAAAGAAGCTGGCCTTTACTAAGTTTACACTGAAACTGCGGCTCATAACAAAGACCGGTATTGCGCCGATGGTCAGCGCAAGAATCCTGCTCAACCTGCTCATGAATTGGGTCGGCTGACTCGCCAGCTTTTCCACTAACACAGAAAAATGAAGATCATCTCAGACTGAACCTTTAAATTGACACAAACTGAAACCAAAACTTTTAAAGAGTGATAGAAGTGAGACTTTACTTACTTTCTTTTGTCAATTCTTTTTGAGGTGTATATTATTATTTTTTTATTTATTTACTGATGACTGCTTTGCAGCTTACATCATTGAATTGAATGATTTATTATAATCTTTTGTTTGTTTTGTAGCAGAAATATTATTTATTAAATTGACATGCATATAAAAACAGCAGTACAAAATAAATATTTCTTACTGCAGTGCTTCATTTTTGTTTGATGCAAACTATACAATTATTTTTCATGAAGTAACAGACTTTTTATAGCAGATAACCTACATTCATGCACATTCAAGGCAGTATCATAATGAGAAATGGAATTCATTACTATTATTGTAATTTTTTATCATCATTAATATTCTATGGCCTAATTATTAGACATTCATTTTGGAATTATTGCACACAAATATCAATGTCTTCGCAGCATTAGTTAGATAGTTGTTTTTGGTTTTTGTCAGTCCTATTAATGTTGTTTTAAAATACAATAAATCCCTAAAAAAACTATTTGCAGCGGTGCTCATTCATTTTTGGTGGGTGCTCCTAAATTTTTTCTGGTGCTCCTAAATATTTGAAGTTGGGAGCACCGGTGCTACCAAGTAAAAAAGTTAATTTCGAGCCCTGCCTGATGTATTGTTATAAGCCCCTGATGTTTTGGAATATGTTGCACTTAAATAAAAATAGGTTGTATAACATTTATTTTGTTATCTAAGTACTGAAAATTACCACATACATCACGCCCATTCCACGGTTGTTGCTAGAGCGGATACGTTTGCGGCCGGAAGTTAACGCAAATTATTTCTATTATTTATAAAATTTTTCATTTGTTGTATTTTATTAACGTGAACCCCCACCCCAACCCTAAACCCAACCGTCACAGTAATGTAAAAACTGTAGTTGTACCGAGTATTAGTTATGTTATCTATTAAATTACCTAATAAAATGTATTTTTAACGCCTACCCCCACCCCAACCCTAAACCCAACCCTCACAGTACAGTAAAAATATTAATTATTGTTATACAGTGTCATAAAAAAATGCTGCTTTATTAATGTGCATATCGCACTTCCGGCCGGCCGCATATCCAATCTAGACTTTACCCCATTCCACTTAAAGCAGTGTTTGTGTCGGGTAATTAAAGTCAGCTGTTCAGCAGTACCTGTTCCTACCGGCAGGTGGAAGTGGCTCTGTTGTCACATGTTTTAAAAAATTTTCGCCACTTCATTCATTTTCACAGTATAAAATGTGTGTAGTTTTGGTGAAACAAAATAACTGTAGTCAATAAAATGTGCATCATATCAATGTAAACACATGCAAATTAGTCAGAAAAACGTAAACTGTACTAGTTTCTAGATATGATAAAGATATCTAGACATCTTCATCTAGATATATAGCCAGTCACATCTGTTTCTGTAATAGTTAAATCACTGTGAGTTCATGCATCTAGCATATTATTTTATTGCTATATTCTACTGTAACATGCCAGTTAGCATTGAATTATAAATTGAATTTCTTATGAAAATACCTAAAATGCCTGGAAGAAAACATATGGTTGAAGTCAGAGTTATTAGCCCACCTGAATATTTAGCCCCCCTGTTTATTTCCCCCCCATTTTCTGTTTAACGAAGAGCAGATTTTTTTTCAACACATTTCTAAACATAATAGTTTTAATAACTCTAATAACAAATAACTGATTTATTTTATCTTTGCCATGATGACAGTAAATAATATTTAACTAGGTATTTTTCAAGACACTTCTATACAGCTTAAAGTGACATTTAAAGGCTTAAAAGGCAGGTTAGGGTAATTAGGCAAGTGATAGTATAATGATGGTTTGTTCTGTAGACTATTGGGTAAAAATATAGCTTAAAGGGGCTAATAATGTTGACCTTAAAATGGTTTTTAAAAAACAGCTTTTATTCTAGCTAAAATAAACTAAATAAGACTTTCTCCAGAAGAAAAATATTATCAAACTCTGAAAATTACCGTGCTTTGTTAAACATAATAGGGAAATACTTAAAAACGGAAGAAAAAAATTAAAAGGGGGCTAATAATTCTGACTTCAACTGTATAAAACATTTATTGTCGCAGTCGAGTAAATTATCAGTTAAAGCCTTTTTATGTTTATTCAGATCTTATTTCCATTTAATTACAGCAATAGCTGGATGCCTTCATCCATATTAGAGATTTCCTGAAATGTTTGACTACTTTTGTAAGGCTTAAGTGGATTTTCTGCTCAAGTTTGGTGTTACAAGTCACAAAGCTTCAAAATGTATTGTTAAAAGACTGTCAACTCAAAAACCCTTTATTTATTATTAAACCATTTGAAATCCTATTATTGAGATTACTGTAGATCACTTTATGAAAGTGAGGGTATTTTATTGGGGTTAATTAGATTTTTTTACTTCTTTGGGGCTAAGCCCCTTATCTCTTTCGACCCTAGCAACGCCCCTGATTTATACTACACTATTTCCTATAAATGACTGCAGTATTTGTCCATGAGGGTGAAATGAGTGAACACAGCATTTCATTTGCCGCTAATAAAGATCAGACAAATCCTGAAGTATAAGAATGTGTGAAAGTAAACAGGAATCATAACCTGTGCTTTTACCGCGAGAAGCTTTTACATCGAGAGCTTTAATAAAGAGGTTAGTGGCCAAAACCAAGCAAAAACAAAGCTGAAAACCGACACTGAAGAGGAACACAGCCGAGAGAAAAACACTTGAATATTGAGAAAGTAGGAATCTGAACTAATAAATAAGGAGAGAAACACAACGTTACCTGTTTACATATGAACACGGTAAAAGTCCGCTATTCCTGATCGCTTTCACAGAGGAATTGACAGTCAAGAGCCAGGATATAATGAAGAAAGGCAGGAGTTGTGTCGTGTTCGCTAAATAATCTCTCTAGAGTTGATAAAAGCTGAAGTGTAGCCTCTTTGTTTCTTCTCATCTTCAACACGAGTTTAATGTTGCTTGTTCTGAGCTTTTCCTCCAGCGCCTCCGCTATCAGTGTGCTGTGTACTACTGCCATCTAGAGGACAATCATAGCAACAGCGACTTACAGCGGTCACCGGGCGCCAGGAGGAAATCAGCTTCAGTAAAACGAATCTTTCAAAATCAAAGTTAAGCAGACAATAAATAAATAAATAAATAATTAAATAAATAAATAAATAACCAACCACCAAAAAACTTTAAATACAACTTATTTTAGTTCAACTCATCATAGGACAAACAAAACAAGTTTAATTTACAGCAGACACCACACATGAAAAAACTTCATAGAAATATACACTAGATATCGCATTGGGACCTTGAGCATGCGTCAATAGCGCCGCCACATTGGTACAGTGCTCCCAGGACAAATGTCATTCAACCGCACTAGTCAAGACAGTGTTATTACGTGAAGATGCGGGACTTTAGCGCTGTCTACGGAGAAACAAAGAAAACAAAGCACAAAGGCAGAACATTTCATAGGTAATATTATGTTTTTTTTTTCTTTTTTTGTATGTTCTGAACTTTTGTGCTAATCAGGTAACGTTATTGATGATAACAGTCACTTACTGCATTCACCATACGGCAAAGCAGCTCCAACTCGCACTAAACACTCGGCTTATGCTAGTTTTGTTGAATAAAATCAGCAAACAATGCAAAAGAAATATGTCAACGAGATGCTGCGCTGCCAGAAACTTGTATTATTGTCCCAGATAGCAGGCAGTAATCGGCCCGAGCTCGGCTGCCCCCCGGCGCCTCCGGCTCCGACTCGGCATCGGCGAGTGTTATCCGGGCCGAGTGCGGCCCGCAGCTCGCTCGCGCACATGCGGTTGTGATGCGGCTGTAAAGCACTGGCCCGATTCCGGTCAACCATATCCTGGCCGCTTCTTGCAAGGACTCGGCTGATGGCAACCGATTAAGTTCTTATTTTATCTAGTAATCTGTTAGCTCCACGTTTAATGATAATTTGAGAAAATATTCATGGTACGATAGCAAAAAAAAAAAAAAAAAGAATATTTAGTGTGGATGGTCGCAATGTTTAGACGCAAACAAAACAATATTATTTATAAATAGATTATACATGTCATCTAGAGAAAAACTATGTAAAATTCGCGTATTTTTGAGATAGCACGCTCCTGTGCTGACTGTTTTTTTAAAGCAGAAGTTGGTTTCATAATAAACACATGCGTTACTAAATTCCTGATCCAAACTCCAATCCAGACGGTGGCGGTAATGCTCCAAAAAGCTGGTTGTCAACCACCATGGCACGAAGATCACAAGAAGAAAAAGTTTGGTTTTTCAAAGACTCACGTGGATTCCGGTCAGAAAGGTAAGCTTTTTACTGCTTGTGTTCTGTGTAATTAGCGAATTTAGAGCTTAAAACATTTCCACGGTGTTTGGTTGTAACAGCGTTTAGTAATTTAAAACAGTTTGATACGAAATGTAACTTGCTTTAAGAAACACGACTGGAGCTAATGTATGCTAACGCTAACAGTTACAAACACGTCTGAAAGTTCCTTTTCCTTTTACACAATGTTAGATTGTAACGTGTGTAGTAACTCAAAACTATTTTAATTATTTTAAAGAAACATGAAACGAATTTGTGTGTATGCTAACTTTGCGTTAAAGAAAGTTTCTGTAGACGAATCCATTAACTAACTTGGCAAAACGTGTTTTTTTCCTGATTTAACATTATTAAGTACCGTGGATGTTGAAAAAATCATTTTACAGGCGTATACTTATCCAACAGTATTAATTCTGTGATTGTGTAAATAAAAACTAATCGTTTTGGATTAATAAAATATTAATGTTTATCTTGTTTATGCAGTTAGTCACGAAAATGATCGAAACTCGACTGTTTACTATTCTCTTTAAATTATCCAAGAGAAATATATTACTATGCACTTTAATTCATATGTGTTAGCCTATGTGAATCAATTATATCTTTTGTTCAAGCTGTAATGGTCAGTTAATGTAAAACTGAACGTCTTAAAGCAGATTTTGATGTTTTTTTTTATGTTATTGACAGTGATAAATTCTGATTTAAATGAATGGGTAACAATATTTGTTGGTTAAGTCTTATTGTTCTTGTTTAACAAAGGTTAGTGAGATCATTTTGCAGCACATCACGACCAAAGAAGTCAATGGCACACTCTTTTGAACGTGAATAGGCATGTTATAGTTGTGTGCTAAAAGTCCATTATAAGCTGTAAACTGCTGATACATTTTCAACATAGATTGAGCTTTTCAGACATTACATTACTAATTGCTTCACAAACAGCTGAAATGGTTTATTGTTATTGGCTATCATCATCAAACATTTTTCACAATGGTAGGTTAATCTTCATGGGTACAGAATAATGCATGTGCTTGACCATCTTACAAATCTATGTCTCAGATTCATAAGGCTGTCACTCTGCATGAATCTCCGAATAAATCTTGTGCAACCTTCTGTGGACTGATTATTTACACTATAGGTATTATATGCATTAATTAACTTTGATAGTATTTCAGGATTTGAACTTTTCTTTACGGGAGGTTAACAACAATGTGATGTTTTATTATAGATGCATATGAGGAAGCTCGACTCAAACATCCACACGCAACTGTGATTTCTGACTGGTAGACAGATGAGGATGATGACTGTCATACATCTAAAGACAGAACAGGTTTGTTTGCAATTATTTTAAACACATACTGTCAACATTATGTCATTGATCTATTACAACCTGTGAGTTTTGCCCTGGCACTATACTAAAGTGATGTTTTGTTTTGTAAATGTATCTGATTAAGGGACAGTATAGACACATCTATACCATGATGAAGAAAAATTACTTGGAACAAAGAGGCTGGATAAAAGGCAGGTATGAAGATTTCAGAAATCAATGCAGCACCACAAGTACCATCACCATCAATGACTATGGCAGAAATCTTAAGACCACCATCAACATGCACAGATACTGTACATTCCAGTACACCAGGCGTGTCCAAACTACGGCCCGCGAGGCTTTTTATAAATATCAATAGAATCTGGCCCGCTATACAAAAATGAACGTAATTCAATAAATAACCACCGGGTGTCGCTATTACATGCATTCAATTAAGCAGCAGTTCTTGTTATGATCTATCTATCTATCTATCTATCTATCTATCTATCTATCTATCTATCTGTCTGTCTGTCTGTCGGTCGGTCTGTCTGTCTGTCTGTCTGTCTGTCTGTCTGTCTATCTATCTATCTATCTATCTATCTATCTATCTATCTACACACAGTTGAAGTCTGAATTATTAGCCCCTCATTGATTTATTTCTTCTTTTTTAAATATTTCCCAAATGATGTTTAACAGAGCAAGAACATTTTTACAGTATGTCTGATAATATTTTTTCTTTTGGAGAAAGACTTATGTTTTATTTCGGCTAGAATAAAAAGCGGTTGAATTTTTTTTATGAACCATTTTAAGGTCAAAATTATTAGCCCCTTAAGTCTTCAGAACAAACCATTGTTATAAAATAACTTGCCTAATTACTTTAACTTGACTAGTTAACTTGATTAACCTAGTTAAGCCTTTAAATGTCACTTTAAGCTGTATAGAAGTGTCTTAAAAATATCTAGTCAAATATTATTTACTGTCATCATGGCAAAGATAAAATAAATCAGTTATTAGAAATGAGTTACTAAAACTTATGTTTAGAAATGTGTGGAAAAAATGTTTAACTCTCCGTTAAACAGAAATTGGGGAAACAATAAACGGTGGCTAATAATTTAGGGGGGCTAACAATTCTGACTTCAACTGTATATATGTATATGTATATATATGTATATATATATATATATATATATATATATATATATATATATATATATACATACACGTGTCTGTGTGATGTATGTAAAATTTGGCTAGCGACAACGTTTGTTTTTTTGCATCTGGCCCTCGGCCCAAAAAGTTTGGACACTCCTGCAGTACACCTATGAACATTTACAGTCTTTGTTCTAGTGCAGTTTGAGATCAAGACAGAACTTATTGCATCTCGTGATGTCTTTGTAAGAATTGAAGACATCACTAAATTTGTTAAGGTTTAATGCAGCTAGAAAGTAAAGATCAACTAGAGAATATCAGCAGTGTCTAACCCACTGTTGTATTTACAGAAGTTGTATGAGAATAAGCTACAGGTTTATTTATACTAATCTGTTATTTTTCTTTTTTAGCACGACTGACTGAAGTTTTAAAATCATGCAACGTCATAAAGCAGCAGCTGGGCCTGATTCTCACAAAACCAAAACAGACGTGATGAAATTCCAGATGTAAACACATTTGACCTTCCTTTGGCCAATTTGATTTGGAAAAGCTTGAAAATCAACTAAAGGAGCAGCCCGAACAAATGAAGAAACTGGTAAGTTCAAGCTCTTGCTAATTTCAAAGTGTTTTAAGTTTATTTGTTTTTTTTATTGTTTTTTTTTTTTTTTTTGCTTCGTAGGTAGCCTACTTTTTTCCTAATTTTTTCTTTTTTTTACATTAGTACTTGCTCACTACTAATTATCTGTTTATCTTTTAATCACAGATGGAGTGAGGACAAATGTCCATACCACACCACTGATAAAGAAGTGGAAAAATGCATTACAAGGTAGCTACAACTTGCCCCTGACAGGGATGGAGGAAGAAAGAAGAGAAAGCTAATGTGTCAAATGTCTACATCACTATTTTGTTTTATTTTTTAAACAACATTTTAAGTGTATTAAGATGTTCCCTGATACTTGAACAATTAGTTTCTTTCATTTGCATTTATATATATATATATATATATATATATATATATATATATATATATATATATATATATATATATATATGTATATGTATATATATGTGTGTGTGTGTATATATGTATGGTATGTATGTATGTATGTATGTATGTATGTATGTGTGTGCGCCAAATTCTGAAGAAACATCTTGATACATTTTTAATAAACGTAATACAAATAAAATTATAA